CAGCTTGCAATACAGTGTCAGACAATAATGTACTCTATTTCATTGTTCAGCGAAGTAAATAAAGCAGGACCTGTGAACATTCAGAACAACTGCTTCCTCTTCCCTGGCCATATTCCCATACTCTCTCTTTTCCTTTACTTTTTTTAAGAATCTGTGGTCTAACAAAGCATATATACCATCATTACATGCACACTTGTGTTTTTACTTTTAAAAAGTTAGTTTGCACAAAAGTAGAAAAAGCACAAATATTTTCAACTTAAATGATTACAGGGAGTATAAAAAAAAGACATTTTTGCTTTGTAAATAAGTAGGTTGGTAGCCATTTCACCAAAGTCCCACATTTGTGTCTAGGGAATCCATAATAGTTCTGATATACCCAAGCAGGACTGCTGTGCATGTCTTACTAAAATGTGCTCTTTTAGGTTTTGCAAATCAGTTTTGTAGCAAAGATGCAACTCATTCAACAAGTGATTAACATGAAATCGTACGTTTGCACACATGTATTAGTAATAAATAGATTTCTTGCCTTTGAAATGCCAAGGGCCCTTATGGAACAGACAACCACATAAACAAACAATGCTGGTGCCATGGTGAGCATTACACATGCAGAGGACTCCCTGCCTCTTCCCGGGGGCTCAAGCTCAAAGAGGAAAGAAAGCCTGAGCTGAACTTTAAGGACAAGTAGGACTGTCTTTCGGGTAGAAGTCAGGAAAGGGGCTTTAAAGCTTGTGGAGGGTCTGAGAGAGCACGTCATCATCAGGACCTGGCCAAAGGCCCCATATAAAGAACTTGTAGTGGATAATGGCAGCTGTCCAGACTGGCTGGGTTCAGACTTCAGAGTCCTCGGTGTCATGTGGACTCTGTCCCCAGGGAAAACGGAAGTCAGTATCATCATTATCTGCAAACTCACAGCCCTCTTCCAGCTTTATTACTGGCAGTTTCAGAAGTGATGAGACACACAGAGAATCAGGTTTTTGTATACCGCTGAATGGAAAGGAACACTTCATAGTGGGAATGAACTATGTTAATGCCAAAAGGAAAATTTCTAAAACCACAAAAATCATCTTTAAAATAGTGGCAAACAATATAGACTAACTGATTGAACACCAATCCAGTTCCTTTCTGGTTTGCTTTTCTGTATGGTCCTGAGCTGGAAAGAAAGACAGTATTTCACAGTCTCTCCCACAATGTGGGTTGCCCTATACTCTGAACTCTGCAAAGCAGCACCACGCTGGAGTCCTGGGCTCCCTTGGGCTCGGCAGACAGTGACGTATGGTACAATGATCTTACGTGGGGCTGCACAGCTCTGTGAACTGCACAGTCTTAGGTAGTACCTCGGTCTTTTTGTCTTTCTGTTTCCCTCTTGTTACCCTTTAACAAATCCCTTTCTACTACAAGGGATTCTGCTATTAGCAAAGGAACTCTGACCAAAACAACATCACAGGAAAACATACCCTGAATTTGGCTCTGGAGCTAAACAACTAAGACCAAAATTAAAACCATTTGTGAGGGAAAAGACTGTTATATGGGCAGAATCATAATGGCCATGCACCATTTCTGAAGCACTGGACTGAGTCATGCACCTCCGTAAGCTCACAATTTAGTTAGGGTCCTCAACACCACCCCTATAACCCTTCCCTAGTTCCGGGACAGTAATACTCTGGGGACGATTTTGCCCTTGGAAGGATGCTTGGCAATGTCTGGGACATTCTGGGTTTTATGTCTACTTGAGGGGGAGGAAGGCATCACTCACATCCAGTGGGCAGAGGCCAAGGCTGGTGCTAATTACCCCCACTGCACACGACAGCCCTCTCTGCGTACACACACTCCCCAAAAGACTTGCCAACCCCAAATGGCCACTGTTGGCATTGAGAACCTTCGCCTGCAAGGCAGTGCACTTCATCCAAATTCCACCTCTACTTTCTAATATGCATGTGGTCCTTTCTCAAGTGCACTGCATTGCTCTTCTCAGCTTTAGTTACTCATTGGCATGCCACTGCCCTTAACATGAAGTCTAAATTCCTTGACATGGGCCACTTTCCACTTCAGGTGCTCTGTTCACCAGATGCTATTCACTTAAACTAATCCATGAAGGATTTAATTCTGCAAAGACAGCTTTTAAAAACACTTATTTTGGAAAATATGAGAGTGTTATGCTGATGAATGCTGGAGCTTACCATTCACTTCACTGAGTGAATATTCATTGTTCCCCCGATTTAGGCATTCCACAATGTATACGTATTTCAAAAACAACATGTGCTCTATATAGATGGGATGGAGAGACAAGAGGGAGAGAAGGAGAGAGGGAGAGAAGCAGAAATGGAGAGACGGAAAGAAAAGAGAGAGGGAGAGAAAGAGAGAAGAGAGAGAAAGAGAGAGAGGGACAGAGCGAGAGAGAGAGAAGGAGAGAGACAGAAAGAGAAAGAGAGAGCCAAAAAATGTAGTGTACATATCTGAGCACTCTGAAAGTGAATGGCTGCTACTCTGAGGTCAACTGTACCTCAAACTGTAGAGGTCAAAGGTTAACTGTAGAGGTCAAAGGCAACTTGTATTAATCTTAGGATATCTCAATAAATTTAGTATAAAATAATGATACAAAATTTTTTCCTGGTCTATATATGTTTAGACTCCCTAAGTAGACATACATAGATAATCTGTCATTAAAAATTATTTAAATATGGATTTTTTTAGAACTGTTTTAAAGGCATTTCCAAATCAACACATGAGCTCCTTCTCTGCCTCGGCACATGTAAAGTCCTACAGTGCGGTGATGCGGAAAGGCCCACCCGGTTTGGAACATAGAAGATGGACTCCCAAGTAAGCTGGAGAAATGATCAGAGATGCCTGGAAGAGCCCTAAGGAGACGTGTGAGGATATTCTGGTTACAGACAATGAAAACTTGAAAATATAGATTGGCATTCTGGTAGAGCACAGTGTCAATTAGGCAGCAAACAAGAACCAATCTCCACACAGTAACAACAGTGCACACAGAGTAAAGGGCATGGATGTGGGGCACATGGACTGAAGAAAGGACAATGGGTACAACAACTAAGACCCAAGGAGTTTGAAACTTAGAGGAAATGGGAAGCCGTAACATGTCGTAAGCAAGGTCCAAACTACATTTACCGGCTATTAAAAAAAAAATCCCCTCTGGCTGAAAATTTGTTGGCTTCATGGAAGGCAAAGCGATAATGGTTCAGACCACACTAGTGTCCAGGTGAGAGATGGCGGGATTGAACAAAGGGTGCCAGGAGACAGAAAAGGAGGAAGCGGATGGGAAAGATGTTTGTAACTGCTCTGGAAAGATTTCAGAAACCAACCGGATTAGTCAGGAATAAAAGAAAAGCTTTTCTTATAGTAAAATTTCCACTGCAGATCACTAAATAAATAATACTAACATGATATGGAATGTCAAAAAATGGCTGTGAAGAGGAGGAGGAGGAAGGGTGAATAACACTGTTACACTTAAATCCATGTGAGAATTTATCACTTGCTTTCTGTAGGACCTGGATGTAGCTTTTGGGTCTACCACATGTCAGCTACCACATGTCATAATATTTAAGCCCTCATTTCCTTTGCTGCCAAAGAGAGTGATAGCATACTATAAAGCATTATATGAGGATTAAATAAGATAAGTACATCTTTCAGAACCTGCTTTTGAAATATGGTAAGCCCCCTAGACAGAATAATGTATCACTAGACATAAATGTTGAGGATGAACCATTACATAAAAGCTAGAGAAAGATGAGTTAACAGTTCCTACAGGATCCAGAAAGGCAAAGTTATAAACGTTTTGGGGAGAACTGGTCTTGAATAAGAGGAAAGGTGTTTCATTTGAAGGATTTGAAAAGTCAGAGGAAGACTAAACCGCAAGGTGACTTTCCTCAGGGAAATCATGGACTCAGAGCATCTTCTGCAGCCCAAACTATGGGTTGTTATTAACACGAAGCCTCCCATAGAGAGGGAGAACTCTATGAACTTTTCCCTCTACATGTGCCATCAAGTATGGCCTGAATCCTAGCCCCCTCTGAGCCCTGAGAGTTACTCATTGATTTATACATGGATCATTTCCACAATGGATTGTCATTATGCATAAAAGACATACAATTTGCAGGATCAATTCATAACATACATAATCTTGTGCTTGTGGATCCTGTAGGAACCCATCATCCATCTTTCTCTAGTTTCTCTAGTTTCTCTCTACTTGGTGGATCATTCCTGTTCAACATTCATATGTAATCTATCTACTTCATGCATTTGCGCTGCATCCCCCAAAAGCCCAGGAACTGTCTTGTTCAAGTATTTCCAGGAAATTTGGGACCATCAGATTTTAACAAAGCTATTATGAGCCTCCCTCCTGTCTCATGAGTGTGGACTCCTCAGAAGGCTCTTTGATGAAGGGAAGTTGCTTCCCGCTGCCCACTGTGATCAGAACAGTAGATGCCAGTCCCACTAACACTTCTCATTTATCCTCCTCTGTCTGTAACGACAAGATTCTTCACCAGGAACCATATTTCAAAGCAAACAACATTGTTCAATAATGGTTTCAAGGCAAGGCCACATTTTTCTTGTCAATTATCAGTGAATAATCTTTATTGTGCAAATCTAACAGTGTTTTTCTAATCTCAAAACTGACTTTACAACATTATGACCCAAAACTCTTTAACATTTACATTATTTAGTACATTCTAATTGAATGCAAACAATAACCTCTTCCTTTTTAGTAAGATCAAGAAGCAAATCTAACAGCAAAAATAAAACATCCCAGAAAGTTTCTTTGCTTTAGTCTATATTTCAAAACCAAACTTGTGTCCTGTGAAATAACCAAACTAGTGATGTTAGGTTCAGCTGTGAGAGCCGTTTCAAATGAGCCTAAAATCTCAAGACATCATGTCATGGAATGACCATCCAACTCTTTCAAGGCCCCTCTTTCTGAATGTCTTATGTCTCTGAGACTGAGATGTGAATAATCACACAGAAGCCAAAATAACACACTTTACCTGGCAGAGAAGCTGCATGGGAAGCATCCCCATAGTGCCCATAATGCGGTGGAGAGAGGCCTATCCCAGGCTGGGACTGAGAATAGGGCGGTGTGGCCACATAACCTTGTTGACTCATTATGAAAATAGCATTCCAAAGGACAGTTCCACAAAACAATCCTGCGACAGAAAAACAAAACATACATCAAGACGAGCTAGTTATTTAATTCTACTAAATGTTAACAAATATATGATAGTCTGAGGAAAAGTACAGGGATCATGTACAGGAGGTATCTACGGCTCTTCACAGCTCAGTCACATCACTTCCATAGTCCTGGGCAAATTCTTAGGCATAAAATTTTAAGAACAATTGCCAACCACCTTTTCATTGGAAGCCTGAAGGGTCTCACAAATAGAGATTTCTGCTAAGTGTCCCTGCCTTTCGTTTGCTTCTGATTTCCATGCACACGTCAGCACACAGAACACCATCCATTGAATGGTAGGCCACCAAAACCACAAGTGGGCTGCATCCCAATGACTTATGACTTTAGATCTATCTTTGTGCTCTAATTATTAATTTTAATCTACCAGTTGGGACAGACAAATCACAGTATAACAAACACAACAGAAGATAAAGTTGACAGTGGCCTTTTTATGTCACTTTAACTGAGCCCAGTGATGACTAAAAGAGCTTAAGAGTTAGCATTTGTTTCTCAGTTAAAGATGACGGAATTTCTTTCTGGTTTACTGCTATCACACCTCTAAGAACATATGCACCTATATTTAAGGAACTACAAAAAATGTAATTTCGTATACAGGCATACACACAAATACAACATTCATCTTGAGTCTACTTAGAATCCAAACTTCGATTTGCTTTAAATTTTTATTTTTCCAGGGTTTTACAAAATCTTATTTCATATAGGACGACTTTCGGTAAACATTTTATAACACAAGGGAAAGTTCTCTGAATTTTGACGAGAAGGTGTTCACTCTATATCTGCCAGCGCTTAGCTGTGTGACATCCAATAAGCTAGAAACCTCTGAGGGTTTCTCTTTTAGAAATGCAGCTTCCAAAACTCTTTACACATAGAAAGCTTCCTTTGGTTCTGTCATCTGCTCCTTTTAAAAGGAAGGGAAGCACAGGTAATCCCTGCTAAGACTTGAAATCCATCTATACTCAGCAAATGGTGTTAACAGTTACATTTTAAAGTCTAAAACTTACGATTTGGTTTAATTTTAATATCCAGTTATGTTCCTAGAATTAATGCAATCAAGTAAAAGTCTGATGAGACCGCTGCCTTCTGCCAGGACAGGAAAAACTACAAGGGGCCTTGAGGCAGGCCAAGGCTTTCGGGTCCACTTTGTTCCAGCTCTCTGCCTCCTCCCCCTTAGCGGAGAGAGACGTGGCAGCCCGAGCTTTGGTCCAGCTCACACCAGCGAGCGAGCGAGCGGGCGGGCGGGCGCGCGCGGGGAAGCCGGCTCCGGGCACACCCACGCAGCATCCTGTTGCTGAGCGACGCGGGCAGCCAACGCAGCGCACCACACGAGCAGGAAGCGGCCGGTCCCTCCGCAAGGGTCCGGGGAGGAATTCGCTTCCTCGGCAACCCGCTTTGCCACGTCAAACTTCCTCACCAGAGCACCAAGTTGTGGAAACCTGACTCAGCTTCGGGAGGCGACCTGGCCTCCGGCCACTTGGCACCAGCAGGCCTGGGAGCGGGATCCCGGCGCTCGCATCCCTGGGGGCCCAGCCCCGCCCCCCCGGGGGTCTTCCTCCCGGAAAAGGCCGGGACGCGGCCCAGGTCCCGTCCCCGAGTCTTGAGGCCGGCGCTGTCACTTCCACGCCGACCCCGGCGCGTTCCTCCGGGCGCGGGCTCGGCTGCCCCGGAGCGGGACCCGCGGGCGGCGACCTCCACGGCGGGCGGGCTGGGGTGGGGGCGATGCCCGCGCGCCGCTCCCCTCAGACCCGCGGAGCCCGCAGCGGGCGCGGGTCCGGCGCTGTATCCTCAGCTGCGCCGCCCCGGGTGCCCGGGGGTCCGGGCGGGACGTCCGGCCCGCGCTCGGCCGGGCTTTACCTGCTCCCGCGTCCGTCCGCACGCCGCTCCCGCTGCCGCAGCGCAGTGGCCGGGCTCCCCTGCGCCTCTGTCCCGTGCCCCCAGGCGGGGCGCGCTGAGTAGCAGCCGGCAGGGAACTGCCACGTCAAACCGCCTCGGCCGCGCGCCCGGCACCCGGCTCCACCGGCCGCGCGCTTCTGCCCGCGCACGCGCACAGGCTCCCGGCTCCGGGAGGGGAGGGGAGGAGAGGAGCGGGGCGGGCGCCGCGAGGGGCGGGGCTCAGATGGGTGGGCGGGGCCAGAGCGGCGAGGGCGAGGATTGATTGGCCCGGCGTTTTGCCTCTTTTGCCTTTTTCGGATTCTCCACCTCTCTCCGCACACACCTTTCCCTTTCCTGGTCCGCGACGCTTTCCCAACAGGTGAAAGACGTTAAGGTCGTTGCTAAATCAGTATTATTTCAATGTGGAGCCCTGTAGGGAGGAAAGGAGAGGATCGCCCACTGGGGGTTCATTCATTCTCCTGTAACAGGCTGCAGCTTCTGCGACCCTTCCCATCACGATGATGCTGTAGACGCTGCAGGGCCTGGGCACGGTTCCTCGAGGAAACTGCAGTGTAAAGGCGGATCTGGCACGAGTGTATGCGGGCAATTGAGTGTCATGTTGGCGTTGGTGCAGTGCATTACAGAGGACCTTCAAGCAGCCTAGGCAGGTGGAAAATAGGCGAGCGAAACGGTGTCCCATTGGAGAGTATGGGAGAGGCATCAGCGTGGAAGCTGGGATTGCTGGATGCTCTGTACTCCTTCAACATGTAGCCATGTACTCCTTGTTTGTGAAATAGGATAGCTAATTTCAATTCAAACCAGAAATTCCACATGGAAAAGCACCCAGTGTTTAGCTCACTGTCTTGAGAGATAACGGTTGAGAAATACGAGCGATCCTTATGAGAACTGAAGCCTTGCCTCTGTATCTCACCCTGATATCAGGACCATCTGGCTGGTTTCTCACCCATCCCTTGCTGGCCTTGCTAGACAGAAAGGCCATCAGCCTACCGAAGGGCTGGTGTCATTATCTGACACTTTACACAAAATAAAACCAGCCCAAAAGTTTTGTTTGCGTAATGTACTTTCTTTTGGGCTACAAAAAATAAAAGCTTATCAACTACCATTACTGACAAACTGCCTCGGTAAAAACTTACACTGGGAGGCTGCTGTCGCTGAGATGCTATATGCATTGAGTAGGAGTGTGAAGCTGATTCAGCAGTGAAGATTTATGGTGCCTTTCCCCCCACACGCAGTATTTTCAAGTGTGATACCCTGTCTACAATCCACTGTAACACTGGTCAGAGTTGGAAATGCATGCTAAAATTCTATTTCAACTTGTTTCTTATTTTCTACATGTTTAAAAAAATGGTGGAGAGCTAGGAATTTCTGACCTGGATTGAAAGTGCATGACTTCCAAGAGCAATGAAAGATATTGTCATGTGATAGCTATGAAAGGAAGGTAGAATCACTTAGAATCAGCCACACCAAGTGAGACCTGGTTGACTTCTTGCACCTAGATAACCACTAAATTTAAATTACAAATTCATCCTCACCCTTTGGTCAGGAAGCAAACTTGTTTGAGGCTAAACCAACTTGGTTTAGTTCTAAAACAGTCTTGAATTAGTAAGTGTTAAAACTGGAAAGATACAGAAGTATGAGTGTCCAAATCAATTTTCAGGAAACACTGAATTCAATCTAATCATGGAGTAGATTTAATAAACTGAGGCTTATTAAGAACACAAAAATGACGTTGAGTCTTACTGATAGTTGAAAGTCATGGCTTCCAATTCTAACTCTAAAAAGTGTTTTTCCTGTACAGCTTTTCCTTTTGACACTACTTTGAGCAGCTATACCTTAGTGTTTCTTCTGTGACTGCCTCATATTCAAGCTCTCAAATTGCTAAAATATTAACTAACTGCGTAATTCTACCATTGATGAAATTACATTGGCGTCTTTTGCTTATGAAATGGCCACCTGGTTGTCTTGGTTTTCTACTCCTGGCCCACAGTGTCTATATTTAACTAACCTCTGACCTTCTATTGTGGTTGCATTGCTGGCCTTCACAGATGGGCAGGTCACCATGAGCTCCCGGTCTTCTTTGCTCTATCTGGCCTGTCAACAAGCTTCTGATGTTTCATCTGTAATTAACTTCATTACCCTGGTAACCACATCCAAGTTGAAAAGTGAGATCACAAAGAATGCCCATGTGAGGGCTGGGGATTTAGCTCAGCGGTATAAGCGCCTGCCTTGCAAGCAGGCAGTCGTGAGTTCGATCCCCGGTACCAATAAAAAGGAAAAAGGCCAAAAAAGAATGTCCATGTACTCATATTCTGTGTTCCTCAGGGTTTTCTGTTCTAATTGTTAAAAGAGGAAGAAAGCAGAGAATCAAGTATACATAGGACTACATAGAAAGAAAATGTCTTGACAATACTTGAGGTTCTTTCTAACAGTTTTTAGAAGTCAGAGTTATGATGCTCTAAGAATATACATAATTTAAAAGGTCTGAGGGCATCTGATTTCAAAGCTGTCTGAGGGCATCTGAAGGCATTTTTTTGTTTTATGGAATTGAAATGACAAAATCTGAACTATTTAAACACTGCACACACAGGGAATAAGACCAAGTTATATAATAGTGACCAGAAGGATTCAGAGTGGCCTGATAGTAATAACAGTAATTGCAGAATTCAAGTGCTGTTGGAACTTATGATGCTGGGAAACCAAGCAAGCAGCTTGCCTCCCTGGTAAGTGGCTGTGGTGTGGCAGGCTGCAGCAGCCCCAGGGGGAGAACCACCAGCATCTCCTGAGATCTGCGCAATGTTGGAACTTAGGACGCTGTGAAACCAAGCAACCAGCCTGCCTCTCTGTTAAGCAACAGTGAGCCTACCAGTGCACGGGCTTAGAGTCAAACATCCCAGTTTCCCTGCCTCCCTTTAGCAAATGGGAACCAGAGATCTGAGCATCTCTTGGGAAGTTGACCATATGTAATATGGGGGAAATAAGGGGGATTTCCTTCTACCATCTTTTTGAAGGCAAATTTTTTACTACTGTTCTGCTTTATTCTGATTAATGGTATTGTTCTGTTCAATATTCTGTTTTTATAAGTTCTATAATGTTCTGTACTTCATTTTATTTTGCTATATGTGATTGAAAGAACTACTATTGTGAAGATAATGAGATATACTGTGAAACCTGTTACTGTTATCCTGATACCCTGCTGTGAAGTTCTGTACCAATTTCACTACACTGTCTCAATTGGCTTTGTTCTGTCTTGTTATTGTTGTATTTTACTACCTTCAAAATAATAAATAAGAAGAATTCAAGTGCTCTTCAGCTGCAAAGTGGGGAGCATGACATCATACTGTCAGCTGAACTTGAATCAGGACTGGATCCTGGCCCTGTTACTTGGCTATGATCTGGGCAAATTTTATTTATTCAGCAAGTCGTTATCTCATATCTGCTATTAGTTTGATACTATAGCAAGCATTGTAGATGCAAATGTCAGATGAGACACACCTGGCTGTTAAAAGTTTATGATATTACTGATATAAGAATTGGCAAGTCACAGCCCAAAGGTAAAATCTGGCTTCTCTGCTTTTTGTTAAAGCACAGTGGAGGTCAAGAGTAGGAAAGGTCTATTGAGAAATAGCCCCTGAGAGACAGGAGGAGTCTCAGAAGTGAATTGCCACTGAGGCCCTTTGTTAGGGTTATTTGGCACAGTCACAATGTGGATACAACATGGGTCAAAATGCCATCAACCTATAGGATTACACATGCAGCTACTTGGCTACTGCCGATTCAGTAGGGAAGTGGATCACATAGCAAGAGTATTTTTGAAAAGCAACAAGTCAGGATGCTCTGGTCACTCATCTGGACAACTGGGCCTAGTTGGACTTCTTGGGCCAGGTGGTAATTATAGTATAATTTCAAATTACAGCCTCTCCCTTAGGGAGCTGTGTAGGACTGGCTATTGCTGAAGTTTGGCCTTCTTTAGGTGCATCTCCAACCACAATTTTGATGTCATTATTCTTGAGAATCTAAGTCCTCTCTGACTACATATTAATTTTGTCTAATTTAACTGCATATAATGTCCTCCCACCCCTGCCAACCAAAGAACTGTCCCTAACTGTGGTTAAGGGAGAACGGGTGAAGTTTCGTTTTACCTGCTTTGAACGGAGAGAAGTTGATGTAGGGGCGACCACAATAAGAAGCCTTTGCCACAAAGATAATCTAATGGGCCTTGGAGAGACATCATGTTGAGGTTTAGCAGTTATGAATTCCACGTACAAGGTCAGTCTAGCTGGGTCCTGGGAGAAGGAATCTGGCAAATTTATCTGCATGAACACATGGAGTTTGACAGCCTCCAAGTCAGAATAAACAAA